ATCTTGCTGAAGACATTGAAGGATCTCAGCCTCCTTAAGAAGTACAGTCTGCTCTGTCCTTTCTTGTAGACTGCTTCACTGTTTTATTTATTTTTTTGTTTCTTATCTCTCAAACTTTTCAACTAACCACACTGAGCAATGCTGTTCACACAGATTAACTTTGTTCTAGTTTGTCAGTGATGTTTCAGACACAAACATGCCATTCTTCATTTAAGTATTGTGTTTTGACAGAACAAGCCTCAATGATGACCTAAAAAGCTCTAAGTTTATCTCAGGTCACCATTCAGACRCAGATCAGATGTAATAAAAWGGTCTTMGCTCCATTTCTTCACATGAGACAAMAAGAAAAAAAACAGAACTTCTGCTTTTCCTTCCTGCTTAAGTGGATCTCCATAAAGAAACTTGTTGCAAACTATAAAATAAAACATGAAATTCTTATCTTGAATTAAATGAAATGGTGCAGTTTGAAGGCTACAGTAATTTTCCTGGTTGAATGATATGCAATTCTGAACTGCAGGTCCACACTCAATGTAAACAAACCTCCTGGCTGAATCTAACATGTGGAAGTTTGAGCAATTAGACTGACCAGTCTGTGTAGTTCTTTTTAAACTTACATAAATATAAAAATCAACTTGTGTCACGATCAGGAGCTTCTGCCATTTCCAGTTTGGGTATTTTTCTTCAATTTGGCTTGTAATTTTTACACAATACCTGTCTGAAGGTATTAATTTTTTACTAAGGAAAGAGCAAAACAACCTTTCTAAAACTGCAAAAGTGGAAAAACACGCACTTTCAGATCTTTATTTTTGCATGAAACTCACAAAGGAAGTGAAACAAGTAAAGACAAATAACACAAAAACATCAAAGTATAAGATAAACAGATATAGATGATGAGAAAGATATGTACAAACACAAATTGCGAAGCTTCTTTTTGCTGCATCATGTTACATTGTGCAGCTGCAGTTATGTCAAAACATTTTAATCGTGTTAATTTGCTTCATTTTAAAAAGCTAAAAAAAATCTGTCATTCTGTTCAATGTCAACATCTCAGTACTACTGTGCAAAGAGTCCAAACAGTCTTTTTTTTCTCCGTATGAGATAATATCTGTGGGTTGTTTTTTTGTCTGCTCACTTGACTGACAGTTTGCATCAACCACGACGCAGCCTGCAGACAGCCAGCAGAACTTCAGGCAAGCCTGAGGCAAAGACAAGAGCCTTTTCACAACTACAGGTTATTTTTTTTACATCTTTTGTGCTCGTCAAGACAGGAGGAATGAAGCACCAACTTATTTTTGGTCTTTTGAACTTTTTCAATTGTTTTATTCTGACAAGTCAAGAAGAGGAACAGGTAATACTTTATTTTATTTTTGTATTTTAAACAAAAATGACCCAAAGAGACGGGGTAATTTTTAATCTAAGGCAAAAAACAAAAAAAGTAGATTATTTAGATTATTTAGATTATATATATATATATATATATATATATATGATGATATGTATATGTATTAAAGTTAGAAAGAAAAAAGTGTCCACAAGAAATTGCAGAGGTGACTGCAGAGTTCATGTGTTTTTATCAGTGAGTCACATTCTCTGGTGTGAGTGAACAATGCAACATTTGTGCAATATTTCTTTGGGATTTTCTTGCTAAAATGAGAAGATGCACAGCTCATAGATGTGAAGTTAAGCAGCAATGCTTTAGGCTAATTAATCAGTGACCAACAACTGTGGAACGCAGGATTTTCCTTTGATTATAAATGAGAAGAAATGGATCAAAATGAGCATTTTTTAATTAAACACCACTACAGCTAACATTTTCAGAAAATAGTGCCTCTTTCAATGGAGGACCAAATCTGACATAATTAGAAATAAAAGCAGAAATATATAAATGGACCAATAAATTAATAAATACACTTGAAAAAGGAGGAAAACACTTACTTGTGCCTTTGTTTTAAACTAAACTTTAAACTTTAAGCTAAACTGAGGCAGCACAATCATGCACAGTAGATCTGCACATGGATCCTGCTGCTTCCTGTCCGTTGACCAATAGGAGAGGAGCTGACCCAAGAAGCTCCATCCACTGTATTTGCATAATGAAGCAGAAATGTATAAGGAAATGTAAATACAGGAGACAGAGAATTGTAAAAACAACACATGAAACTAAAAAGACTTGTGGGAAAATTATATATAAAAATAAAAATAAACATTTAAAGGGGCAATGTCATATAAAATCAACTTTTTGAGTTTTTTTTTATCATGTTATAATGTTATCCTCTCATCAAAAACATGCCCAGAGTCTCATTAATGCATGTTTGAGAAATTCTTTGCTGTCCTGAGGCAGCCAGGCAGGGGAGCAAAAACCACCAATTGGGACTAGAACCGCCTTTTGGGACCAGCTCCTCCTCTGGGCTGTGTCTTCGAACTGAGCTTCCTCATCCCAGAGGCTGGAACGTCATCTCTGTAATTGCTCCGGTTCTTTAGAAAACGTACTTTCCAGTCCAACAATAAGGTTCACATGTATCCTGAGATGCAATTTTCCAAAAGAGATATTGTACAATGTTGCTTCGTTTTTTATTACAACAAAGTCTGCTATGACGCTCCAGGTTTTAAGCAGCAGAGCTCTGTAGAGAGAAGTAGCTGTGATGATGTGCTGAAATGGGCGGGACAGAAGTGGAAGGAGGTTCTTAAAGAGACAGAGGCCAATTTCAAGGTGTTTAGAAAAGGAAATGATGAGAAGAAGTTTATTTTCTATTTAAACATACTGTATAAACAGCATTTTAATAACAACTCAAGGTGACATAGATACTTTATTATTGTATAGAATTTAAATATATGCCTGAGAAACACATAATATTGCCCCTTTAAGAGACACAAGTAAAACAAAAAATATATAATTTTAAAAACAGTAAAATTTAAATTATGTGGTAAAATATATAATTTAGATTAATTGATAAATTTTAAGTGTGTTTATTTATTTTTTGGTCCATTTAAATATTTCTGCTTTTGTTTCTAATTCTGTCAGATTCGGTCCTCCATACATTCCTTGCAGGTAGCACCTTTTAAACACATTTGATATGATTTAAAACAGGTGACAACACATACAGCCCACAACGTACTGCTTTGTGTTTTAGATTTCTTCCAAAAAACATAAATACATTTTCTAATTTCACTGAAACCTCATGACTGCTCTGCTTCTGGTCTGTTTCTTCCTGCTGCTCACCATTGGCTTTTGTTTTTGTTTTTATTTAGATTCAGAACAAAGATGAAGGCTGGTCTCTTTATGATGAATTGCCAGAATATAACTCAACGTACGATTCTGATTCTACATCAGCTCCATGCCTGTTGTCTGTGCCCGGATTTAATTCCCTCGCCCTGATGATCGTCTACTTCATCGTGTTTGTGTTCAGCATCGTGGGCAACAGTGTGGTTATTTTCGTGGTCTGCACCATGGAGAAAAGCAGAACAAGCACCGATATCTACCTGATGCACCTAGCCATGGCAGACTTCCTGTTCTGCCTCGCCCTTCCCTTCTGGGCCGTGGACAGTCATTACGGTTGGGTTTTCGGCGACTTCTTGTGCAAGCTCATGTCTGGCTTTCAGGAAGCGTCTGTGTACTGTGGCGTCTTCCTGCTGGCGTGCATCAGCGTGGACCGGTACTTTGCCATCGTCAGAGCCACACGCAGGCTGTCCTCCCATCACCTGGTGGTGAAGGTGATTTGTGGGGTCGTGTGGCTCGTGGCAGCGGTGCTCTCTCTACCTGTGGCAGTTAAGAGGGAAAGAATGCACGGCGCGGATCTGAACCAGGACATCTGTTATGAGAACCTGACCGGCGAGAGCAGCGAAAAGTGGCGAATCAGCATGCGTGTTCTGAGACACACCGTGGGCTTCTTCCTGCCTCTGGTGGTGATGGCTGTCTGCTACAGCTGGACGGTGGTGACGCTGTTCCACACCCGCAATCATCGAAAGTATAAGGTCATACGTGTGATCCTGGCGGTGGTGCTGGCGTTCATCATCTGCTGGCTGCCCCACAACGTCACCGTGCTCGTCGACACGCTCATGAGAGGCGGGTCGCTGCAGGTGGGCTCGTGCGACACCCTCTACAGAGTAGAGATGATGCTGAAGGTGACCCAGGTTCTGGCCTTCCTGCACTGTGCCGTGAACCCGGTGCTGTACGCTTTCATCGGGGAGAAGTTTCGGAACCAGCTGCTTGTCGCGCTTTACAAAAACGGCCTCATTAGCAAGAGGCTGTTGATGTCTTACAGGAAGAATTCCCTCAACAGTTCGGTCAGCTTCAAATCTCGAAACACCTCTGTTTCCATGTCGGTTGCACCCGACGGCTAATTTTCCTCAGAGGCTCATGATTTATTTGATCCTTCAGTCATGTCATATCTGATCTCTTCACCAGTAATGAGCAAATCAAAATGATGAGGTTGCATGATGGGAATCTGAGGACCAAAGCCAAAAACATGAATTCAATACAGACCAGGATAAATCTGTTAGTGTCCTTACAGCTCATTTATCTTAAAAAGTAATGTCATTACAGGGAATTGTATAATGCACTGTACGTACGTATATCTGCACGCTTTTTGTATGTGTTAAACAAAAAAAATGCAGAAAAACATTATTTGTTGTTTGTTTTAAGATGCCAAGGTAGTAAAAACAGATTTGCTGGTACCCATAAAAGTATCAAGACCATCCTTAAGCAGCAACGTTTCTGACATATTAAAAAGGAATAAAAAAGGAAAAAATTGGACTATAGCCAACCTACCAGGATGTGGATGCAAGAGGTAATGCAACCCCAGGTTAATCGGATGGTGAGGGTGATAGAAACAAAAAAGGAAAATAAATTATCCCAAACTTTAACAATAAAAATACAAATCTAAGCTTTTTGGATGGGTTTTGTTTATTGTTGTGGAAGTGGGAGGGTACCAACAAGTTGATCTGTTCACAGGCCTTTTTAAAAAAAATTTTGTAAAGCATGTATTTTTGAAAACTTCTTGAGAAATTTAAGAACAATATAACAAGAAGTAAACAAACTAACTAGTTCAATTTAAGGTGGACTGAATCTATGTAGTCACTTCTCTGTTTCCTGTGTGTTTGGTCTCGAGTCACTAGCTGCGTTATTGACCATGAAAATGCTCAAATTAGCATTTCGAAAATAAATTCGCTCAATGGAAACACGTCAATTAAAAAAATATGTACGTTTTTCAACACAATGTTTTTGCGCTAGGATGAGGTGGTTTKTCGGCCGTATCGAAATTGGTGTTTTTCGCAAAACTGCAATGGAAACACAGCAGTTGCGAAAGTGTGTTTTTCGACATTAACAGAATATCGACAAAGTTTTGCGCACATTTGCAATGGAAACGCAGCTACTATTGTTTGTTGTTTTTTTTCACCCAGAATGAACACACTCCATATTTCTTATAACATAACTCATTATACCAGGTAATTAAAAGCTTGAGATGGTGTCTAAAGTTGCAGGTGAAGCTTTCCGGTTTTATGTTTTCAATGCAAAACATGATTTTTATTAGGTGTTTATCTTTTTTATCTTTTTTTCATTGTTGCAAAACCTGATGATTCTTTGTCAGTTTGAATAAACAAAGCTGAAGTCAGGATTTTATTGTTGTACATTTTGCAAAGCTTGTGCTATTCATGAAAACAAGTTTATTATTAGCACACTGATCTAGATCCTGATGCTGAGATGTAACCAAAGTTTCAATTTAAACAAAATTATTATTATTTTTCTCCTCCAGCAAGTAACAAATGCATTTTTTGTACAAATGGCTGTCAGCTCTTTTAAGCAGGGATAAATTGTGAAACCTTGTTTCTACTTTCACAACCAAAGTATGACATGTCAGTATTGTGTAAGATTTGCTTTTTGTTGTTTTATTATTATATTTTTGTTTGTTTTTTTGCATAATTAATAAAATATGAACTTTTCTTATTACTGTGCATGGATGTGCAGATAAAATGTACCGTTTATAAGTGATGAAATGACAGGTAACAAGTAGTGAGATATGAGATATCGCAACAAAGAAATTGCTAAATCTATGGTTGTGTAACAAAAACCATATTTAAAAAAACATTTATTAACCAACATATTCTCTTYATCTATAATTGATTCTAGGAATGTTTTTATAAAGTGATAAATAAGGTTTGATCTAAAATTATAATAGGACTGGAAAGCAGCTTCAACACAAATATAAATAAAATGTATATTTTGCATTTCACACTGCTTTAATTGTTTTCTAAAAAGCAGAACAGAATTTTTTTCCCAATGTTTTGTAAAATGCTGTTTCATCCTCAGCTCTCTGATCAGGTTCCTCTTTTTGTTTGTGGTTTTCTTGGAAGGGGAAGGGGATGGGGTGGGGTGGGTTGGGGGTCAAAACTGTCACAGACAATTAAACTCGTACATGTTTTATCAGAGGCCCAATAAACCTGGAAACAGAAGAAACACTGAATATATATATATATAAAAAATAAGTTGTGTTTGTTTGTAAAAATAATGGCAAAAATCCTAAATTACTTAGAGGAAGAGTTTATGTGTGAAATATGTCAGCTGTGGAACTAATTATCTGTAAAACTGACTGGCTGTAAACTTCATGAAGGTTTCTTCCAAAGATTAACAAATCAACTTGAAAATTTTTCAAAAACTTATTAATAAACTTGATAGTTAATGAATAGAGAAAACATAAATAATAAACTTTTTATGCCTCATTTCCCCCCAACTTACCAGAACATTTTAATTTATGTTTCTTATTTAAAAAACTGACTGTTAAATGTAGTTTCTAGGCACAAGAGAGTCTAAAATTCCTCCTCTTTCCCCTCTATACCCCTTATTAAACAATAACAGGTTGTTTTGAAGAAGCTGAAATAGACTGACCTCCACAAAGCTTCAAAAAACTCAAACTGATTTGAACATAAAAAAGGGCATCCCACAAGGCTTAATCCTAGACCCTCTGCTGTTTAGTCTCTTCAGGAGTTAGACATTGAAACAGAAACACCTGCTTTTAGAGACCCTTACATCCCTTTCAGTCAGCTTCCTCTTGCGCCCACAGTTAATCCTGTTGGATGTGGTTAGTCCTTCTTGGTGGTATGCTGACATTACCCTGGATACTGTGGCTCTTGATACATCACAAAGACTAGCTGTCTTGGTCACAGATACACCAGGAAGGTGTGCACCAACAATTTGTCCTCTTTTGAACTCTGGAATGTCACCCATGTTGTGTGCATTGCAATATTTGGAGCAAAACTGTGCTCTTACCCTGCTAGTTGAACCTTCACACTCTGCTCTTACTGGTGCAATGTGCAATTAATGAAGATTGGCCACCAGGTTGGTCCAATTTAGCCATGAAACCTCCCACACTAAAATGACAGGTGTTTCAGTTTCATTGTCTAACCCCCGTAATTGACTTGTCTCTGCACTGCTCAGGTGCCAGCTGTCAACTTTATGTAGATGATGCAGTTCTTTATGCAACTGCTAAGTCACCAGAACAAGTTGCAAAGGGTATAATCCATACATCTGACATCCAACAGTGGCTCATCCAAAATCAGCTGGTTCTAAATCTTTCAAACACAGTTTCCATGTGTTTTTCAATAAGAAAACTTGATTTAAAAGAAAATTTTAATGTTAGTTTACAAATTGGAAAAAAATAACTCTGCTGCAGAATTTAAATACCTTGGTTTGGTGCTGGATCCTTAACAATAACCATGGTTATATACACAGTGATGCAGGCATCAGATTGTTTTGTTCTTGTATCTGTCCCTATCAAAACAACAATATTAAGTCAGAAGTCTGAATACCAATCTACAAAAAATAAAAAAAATAAAGAAAGAAAAAGCAGAAGAAAAAAAGGCAAAGTTAAAGTTTTGTACAGTACAATAATTTCCTTTTTTAACTGGAAGAATTTTTTTTTTGTCAGAAGATGGAGCCATTTCCCCAGAGTCTGCCAATAGCAGGTGATCCACTTCAAACATTATTGTGACAGATTTAAAGAAGGTAACTAATGCTCCATTTCCCTAAGCACTTGATAAAATATCCGAGGAAAGTTTTGGTTTAATTGTAACAAAATTACTGAGTTCTGATTTCCAGCAGCATGAACTCACTCATTTTCCTCCACAGTTTAAAATCTGAAAAACTGAATCTGCTCTCTCTGTATCCTTGTTACTACTGCCTAGATTCAAAGACAAATTACAACTATTTATTCGGGTATGCCTATAATGAGCTTATAGAAAAAAATACATGAATGGGGATTTTATTTTCAACAACATATACTCCCTTTATCAGTAGCTGCTGATAAAGAAGCTYGGACAGCCAGCAAATCTAAATCCCCCCATCTATTGAGATATTTTCAAACCTCATTCAAACAATGTATATATACAGTATGTGTATCTATATAAATTGTTGTTCTAGAGGGATTAGATGTTCTTGTCTTTTGTTTTGTATATAACATAGATTCTTTGTTATATGACCTTATTCTTGGGGGGAAAGGGGCAGATATTATAAGGTTTTTTCTCTCTCTGCTGCCTTTCATTTCATTTTATTTGTGATTTTGATATACATATATTTTTTCTCTCATTATTTCTTTTTATATATTTTTATTGTATATTGTATATAAAATTATTTGTTTTGTTTTAATGAAATGAACAAAGAATTGAAATAGAATCGGAAAGTGCAAATGTTTGTTTTTACAAAAAAAAAGGGGGAAAAAAATCATTCAATCAATAAATTAATACATAGGTCCTGACCCAGAAGTGCATACACTACACATGAGCAGGGACTATTTTGTAAACTTTAAAAGGATGTTTTTCTTGTTTCAGGTGTGTAATATAATTTTTAGTCTTTATAATAATATTAAAGTATACATGCTTTATACCCACTTTAACGTTAGAATGTATAGGAATTATATAAAAAAGTGTTCATTCTAATTTATTGCAACAAGCTACTTTTTTTAACTGTTTAATTATTTTCCAGCAGTTTGTATTTATTACAGCTATATTAAATAATCATTTGACTTTTTTCAGCTGATTGTACAGCAGAGGGCGGGGACGCGCATGCGCACTGTGGCCCATTGGCAGTAACCATAGTAACAGTATAATAACATCAGTCGGCAGAAGCTACCTGTAAACAAAAACTGGGTTAACGTGGCCGGCTGAACGCTTCTAAACACGGACGTTGGGTGGGTTATTCCACGACCACTGAGGTAATCCTGAATGAAGTTATGGATATTATTTTGAATGTATTTATTTTCCTCACATAGCGGAGCGTTTTAGCGGTCAGAGGTTGTAAAAATATAAATGTACGCAGAACACGCAGTTTTGTTTCCGGTTGGCTTCAAAATAAAAGTCTTGTTTACTTAAGCTAACGCAAATAATTCTTAATCCAGAAAAACAATATGAATTGTGTTTGAAATTTACGGTTCATGTTTTTCCAAATCAAATATCATAAAATATTTAAAGAGGTGTTTAATGTTAGGATACCACACGTGTCAACGAAGCGTTTATTTTGAAAAGAGCTTTCGATCACCGGAAGCTAAAGTAAATGAAACATATATCACTTAATATCACGTTATCTTTAGCAGCCTTTTCATCACCAGTTCACTCATCACAGCTTTAGTATCATGCTGTCTTATCGGTAATAACTACTTACTTTTAAACTATTTCGGAAACGTAAAATTGAACAGATTATTGCGATAAGCTAACTGTTAGCTCGTGTGTTAGCAGCCGTCCGAAGAGTATTGTTTACCTATGAGCACTCAAGCATTTACTGCTTTAAATCTGCAGGTTTTAAACAAATAAAGATGTCGAACGATCTGGCTGCTGTGTGGGAGGTGGCACTGAGTGATGGAGTCCACAGAATAGAGTTTGAACATGGAACAACCACAGGCAAAAGGATCATCTACGTTGATGGAAAGGTAATTATCACATTATTAGAATAGGAGAGTCCAGTCCTGTCCTCGAGGGCCACTATCCTGCATATTTTAGAGGTTTTTTTTTTTTTCAAATTGATTTGTTAATTCAGTCACAACATCCAGGATAGCCTACTACCAGGAGTGAACACCTTCCTTACTGTTTTCTCTAATTCTGAGTACTTTCCTGATCTTCAGGAGGTGTTGAGACGAGACTGGATGTTCAAACTTGTGGGGAAGGAGACCTTCAATGTGGGCCAGTCCGACACCAAAGCGACCATAAACATCGATGCGGTCAGCGGGTTCGCCTACGAGTACACCTTGGAGGTGAACGGGAAGAGCCTAAAGCAGTACATGGAGAACAGGTCAAAGGTCACCAGCACCTGGCTGATCAATCTGGATGGCACCGACTGCAGAATTGTCCTGGGTGAGTCTGTCTGTGCACCCCTGTTTGATTAAAGCTAACATAAGTGAAAGAGTTGTGGCAAATCATCTATTCATTTGTTTTTAAATAAGAATAATCACTGATCGACTTGACTTGTGGAGCAGTGATTTATAGTCGTCAGATTTGCTGTGCTGCTGTAGCTGAAGCTAAGCTCTTTGATTGCCTTAAGCTCAAATCCTTCCAAAGACACCTTTGTGAACCGGACAAGTTAATCCCTTTTATAACTGCTCTGCTGGTACACTGCTTAAATTATTCCCAATAAAAATAACTTCAGTGTTCTGTTCTTATTTTGCTCAGATATATGCAAATCCTAATTTTACTTTGAAGTGCACATGTTCTATTTATGATAAACCTATTTTAAAAGAATCAGATGGTTATTAGAGAGTGACTGGTTTAATGGGCAAATCACAAATACATCTTAGTCCAACAGTAACCAGAAACTCTTTTTCTAAAGTTATTAAAAAAAATTTTTGTCTGTAAATTTAATCCAGTATTACAAACCGTGTGCTGTGAAGACCAAATTTTCAGATAATTTTTCCTTGAATAAAACACTTAAGTCATCCCTTTAATCAGAGGTTTATAGTAACTAAGTACATTTACTTTGTTACAGTACTTAAGTAGTTTTTTTGAGGATTTGTAATTTTACCAACTATTTTTTAAAATAGCTACTTTTATTTTTATTTTGTTGCATTTTAAAGCTAAAATGATAATTTTATTTCTTAACTTTAAAATGTAACACCTAATTACTAATTACAAATTAAATAACATCATTTACATTAGTTTTAATGATGTATTAAATGTGTGTGTGATTTTTTTGTGCAATTTGTATTGATTGTATTTTATTGTTATTTTATCTTGTTTTGTATAACTATTTTGTTTATGGCAAGTCCAGGGACAACAGATAAAAATTAGCCTGTGGCTATTGCACTTTTACAGAAATGTTGATTAATGTGCATTGTCCCTTCTAAATCAATAAATTCAAATTCAAATCATGAAAGATGTTTCTGCTCTAAAAAAGGAAGTGTAGAATTTACTCAACAAAATCATGTCAGCTGGCTCCACTAAGCCTAGTGGAGTAAATTGARCAAATAATATACAGATATTGCTCAATTTACTCAACCTGACATAGTGGAACCAGTTTGGTTGAACAAATTCAACAGTTTATTCCTCAGAGAGTGTCAAAGTACTTTTACTTTTCCAATTTTGTGAACAGTTTTATGACTTTTTAGTTTTCTCATCAGTTAAATTTATTTTTTACCAAAGTCATTTTCTGTTCAAGTAATTTTACTTTTACTTACCGGTAGTTATTTTGTATTTTTGTACACTTTATAGACCTCTGCCTTTAATTAAAGTCCTTAAATTATTGAGCACTACACACACTCACACATTTTCCAAACAAATACAAAGCATTTTTTAAAACTTTGTATTAAATTACTAAACATTTAATCGTCTTATGTTACTGGTTTATTCAGGATTTTCTTATCTGTTGTTTAAAAAGTTTTTTTTACTCATTTCTGTGCACTTCTGTATTTGTCTAATAAAATCATCCTGTCATCTCTTTCAGAGAAAGACACCATGGACGTTTGGTGTAATGGAGAGAAGATTGAGACYGCTGTAAGTCAACTAACCTCCAACATGTAAACCAAATCAATAAAACACAAAAACCAAAAAAGAAACAGAAGCCTGTGTAATGAAACATTTCTTTTCTTATTCGCACCCGCAGGGAGAATTTGTTGACGATGGCACGGAGACACATTTCACGCTGGGAGACCACACCTGCTGCGTGAAAGCCGTGAGCAGCGGGAAGAGACGTGACGGCATCATTCACACTCTGCTCGTGGACGGCACAGAGATCGCCGAGTGCATGGAGTGACGGTCGGCCGGGTGAGCGCAAACATCAGAAAATGTTTCATTTAAAAGGGCCAGAGTTAGAGAGCAACACAGAAACATGTTCGCGTGCGTCGACGTCCAAACTGAGCAGGATATATTAGCCATACGTTCGGTGTTGTACAGAATAAAGTAACACCGGTAGATAAAGACCGAACCTGCAGACTGTGCAGTTGTAGAGAAGATGGTGCAGCTATAAATGTTACTTACTGTCTTAAAGGGGCAATATCATGTAAAATCAACTTTTTTGAGTTTTATGTCATGTTATAATGTTATACTCTCATAAAAAACATGCCCAAAGCCTTGCTTTGACTCATTCATGCATGTTTGAGAAATCCTGCAGCGTTTTTAGGAAGCCATGCTGAGGAGCAAAACGACAGGTGGGGTCTAGAGACGCCGTTTAGTAACAGAAACACCCCTGGGACGTGTCTTTAGGACGAACTTCCTCATGGCAGAGTGCACCCCCTACCCCCTCCCCACACA